ATAATTTGTTATGATCCACACAGTCAAATGCCTTTGCATAGTCAATAAAACACAGGTAAACATCTTTCTGGTATTCTCTGCTTTCAGCCAGGATCCATTAGACATTAGCATGCGTCTGTCAGTTTGTAGTACTGTGGGGGCTTGCTTGTTGCTGTGATGCTGGAAGCTATGCCACCGGTATACAAACACCAACAAGGTCACCAGTGGTGGACAGGTTTCAGCTGAGCTTCCAGCCTAAGACGGGTAGGAAGAAGGGCTTGGCAGTCAACTTCTGAAAAAAATTAGCCAGTGACAATCTTACGAATAGCAGGGGAATACCATCTGATGTAGTGCCGGAAGATGAGCCCCTCAGCTTGGAAGGCACTCAAAAGACAACTGGGGAAGAGCTGCCTCCTCAAAGTAGGGTTGACCTTAAAGATGTGGATGGAGTCAAGCTTTTGGACCTTCATTTGCTGATGTGACACGACTCAAAATGAGAAGAAACAGCTGCAAACATCCATTAATACTCGGAATGCGGAATGTATGTAGTATGAATCTAGGAAAACTGGAAATCGTCAAAAATGAGAAGGAATGCATAAACATATCCTAGGCCATTAGTGAGCTGAAATGGACTGGTATTGGCCATTTTGAATTAGACAATAATATGGTCTACTATGTCACAAATGACAACTTGAAGGGGAACGGTGTTGCATTCATCATCAAAAAGAACATTTCAAGATCTACCCTGAAGTACAACACTGTCAGTGATGGGATAATATCCATACGCCTACAAGGAAGACCAGTTAATACGACTACTATTTATGCACCAACTACTAAGGCCAAAGATGAAGAAACTGAAGATTTTTTACCAACTTCTGCAGTCTGAAATTAATCAAACATCCAACCAAGATGGATTGATAATTATTGGTGATTGGAATGCAAAAGTTGGCAACAAGAAGGATCAGTAATTGGAAAATATGGCCTTGGTGAGAGAAATGATGCCGGAGATCGCATGACAGAATTTTGCAAGACCAATGACTGACTTCTTTATTGCACATATCTTTTTTCAACAACATAAACGGTGACTATACATATGGATCTAGCCAGATGGAATACACAGGAATCAAACTGACTACATCTGTGGAAAGAGACGACAGAAAAGCTCAATATCATCAGTCAGAACAAGGCCGGGGCCAGCTGCGGAATAGACCATTAATTGCTCCTACGCAAAATCAAGGTGAAGCTGAAGAAAATTATAACAAGTTCACGAGAGCTAAAGTATGACCTTGAATATATCCCACCTGAATTTAGAGACTGTCTCAAGAATATATTTGACGCATTGAACACTAATGACCAAAGACCAGACGAGTTGTGGAATGACATCGAAGACATCATACATGAAAGCAAGGGGTCATTAAAAAGACAGGAAAGAAGGAAAAGACCAAAATGGATGTCAGAAGAGACTCTGAAACTTGTTATAGAGCATGTAGACTTTGCATTTGTTGTATGTTCCTTGCAGTTATGTAAATTTAAAAGCTCAAAAGGTGAAAGGAATCTATAGATCTAAAAGTGTCATTAAATGATTTGATACCCAATTGACCTCCACAGCCCACACCTAGCCATGTAATCTGTTAGGAAAATGCATAATGGTCCCTTGCTACCTGAGTGGCAGTGTCTCCCATGGTGCCACGGATCTACTACTCAGTACAAACGAGGAGATTGAGGGCAAGCTGTTAGAAAGGGAAGTCAAGCCAACACCTCCACAAGAAGAAAGTCTTGGTTCCAGGTGAAGCTACCTGGCCAGGCTGCCCCTGGATGTCCCCAACAGGGGCTGAATGAGGCTGCATGCGGCAGCTCTGGTGGAAAGTGCACCAACCAGTTCCTGGCCTCCTCACTCACATTTTCTTGGGTAGGTTTTATACGATTCTGTGATGAAGAGTACAAGTAGGCAGGGGAAGGCTCTGGGTCATTTGGGCATAATAGTGATAAAGAGAGTGAAAGGGACATGCATTCCAACGTCAGACTCATCTTTGTCACTCAGGACCAGCCTTCCAGCCCAAGAAAAAACTGTAACTGTTGAGGGCATCCAAACCTCAGAATTGCCATAACCACAATTATTGCATAGAAGTTTTCAGGGTGGACAAGGCAGGTAACAATGCTTAGACAGATCCAAAAAACAATGAAAACCTGGATTTTGGAATGCCATTTGAGGCAGGTGAAAGGACACTAAGATCATGTTAGGAGCAATACCTTGGGCTCCTACCCATGCCAGGACGTGAGAGCCCTGAAGATCTTTCCTCTTTGCACGCCCAGGGCTGCACCGCTGGCCTGCGGCCCTGATGCACCTGCTCCCTGATTCCTCATCCCTGAATGTCCAACCCGCCTCATCTAGTTCTGGCTCTTCTCACCCACTTCCTACATTTCCCCCTCATCTCCCTGTTCATAGCACAACTTCCTCTGTTCTTTTAGACAATTCTCATGCCTTTTTAAATTTTTTTTTTCTTTCTGGAAGGTAGAGGGCAGGTGGGCTTCAGAGAAAGAAAGCCCTAGGTTAAAATTTTGTTGTTAGCTGCCATCGGGCAGGACTCTGACTCATGGCAACCCCAGGCACAACAGAAAGAAACGCTGCCTGGTCCTGTGCCATCCCCATGATTGGCTGGGGATCGCTGTGATCCGGAGAATTTTAATTGGCTGATTTTCAGAAGTAGACTGCTAGGCCTTTCTTCCTAGTCCATCTTAGTCTGGAAGCTCTGCTGAAACCTGTTCAGCATCATAGCAACATGCAAGCCTCCACTGGCAGATGGGTAGTGGCTGCACATGAGATGCGCTGGCCGGGAGTCGAGCCCTGGCCTCTAGCATGGAAGGCAAGAATTCTGCCACTAAACCACCACTATCTCTAAACTTTTTTAGTCTACCCCTGCCCACCTGTGTGACCTCAGACAATGTTTAGCCTCTCTGAGCCCCAAGCTCCTCATCACCCCTGCAAGATGGAGTATAATGCCTGTTTTGAAAAGATCCAAAATTAGCCAACAAGACAACGTCTATAAAGCAACAAATCCAGTGTGCGGTCATAATTCCATTCAACGTTGTTCAAGATACATCCAAAGCTCAAATGAGATAACTAATCTCAAATTTTAATGTAAAGTCACCTGCAACCATTTGAAACCCGGCAACCACCGCAGATTTCTAGATGCAAACCCCAGAAAAATCTGATTCAGGAGATAGATGGCCTATGGATTTCACTTGGAGAAACACTGTTTCAAAAACTCGAAAACAAATCCAGGATCAGCCACACCACTGGGGCCGATATCTGACTGCATCGCTTTGGACCCCCCAGGGAAGGGCTCTTCTGATCTGCACTGTATTTGGAGTAGAGAGGATGCCTCTCTCTTGAACTACCAGAGCTATCTTATCAGAATTTACTTGGTCTAATTTTTATTACACTTATTTTATCATTCACCCCAATTTCTTCACTTTTCCCCCATTCTACATGGTGGTGGTGTTAGGTGCTGTCGAGTCATTTTCGAGTTATACTGACCCTACAGGACAGAGGAGAACTGCCCCATAGGGTTTTCTAGGCTGTAATCTTCATGGGAGCAGATCGCCAGGTCTTTTCTTCTTCAGAGCGGCTGGTGGGTTCAAACTGCTGACCTTTCACTTAGCAGCCGAGAGATGAACCACTGGGCTAGTAGGGTTCCTTCTACATGAAGGGAAAAAAAAAAAAACAAAACCCAAACCCGTTGCCGTCGAGTGGATTCTGACTCATTAGCATACATAAATTCATCAAATTCCATAAAAATGAAAAAAAAAAAAAAAAGCACACAGATAAACAAAAAGCATTGAAGCTGCTCTCAGGTTCAGCTGAGGACATGGGCGGGCACCTACCCCCCAGGCGCTGACCTTCTCACCTGTGTGAGGGGAGAGCTCCTCTCTTCCTATTGATAGTATGTCTAAGGATAACAGCGATGTTAGCTGTCATTTGCCCTATGGCCTGTCTTCTTGTTGGTGGCTCCCAGCCCACACTGACCTCACTCCTGATATGTGCAGTGCACTGTGACACTGTGCTGCACACCTGTGCCATCAAGCATTTCTTTCTCTCACACACACACAAACGCTGACATGCAGTCACCTTTCTCAATCTTGCAGCCCCCGTGCCGGAGCGAATGGCATCCATCAGGGCTTGCCTGGCATCCACAGGATTGTTGAGGGTGCCTGTGCTGAACCTGGAGGCTGTCCTGGGTGCGGGGGGCACTGGGGCAGCAGGAGGCGAGGGCGGTGGTGGGGGTGGTACACACAGGCTGTCTTGCTGAGGGATTTGTGACCCATGTGCGGAGAATTCAGCATCTCGGAGGGTTCGGAGCTCCTCAGAGGCAAAGGATGACACCTAGCAATGAAAGTGTTAAATGAAAATGTCCCCAAAGCTGCTTCCTGTGAGGAAGCTGATTATCTTACCCTTGGACCTGAAGTGCTCATCTGCAACAAGCCTGGGAAGTGTGTTCGCTTGCTGGGGAAACATCTGTCCCTGCTCTCCCCCTGCATCCCAGCTAACCGATGACAATCCCAAAACCAAACCCACTGTCATCGAGTCAGTTCCGACTCACAGTAACCCTATAGGACAGAGCAGAACTGCCCCACAGGGTTTCCAAGGAGCAGCTGGTGGATTCAAACTGCTGACCTTTTGGTTAGCAGCCGAGCTCTTTTAACCACTACGCCACCAGGGTCCCAACCAATGACAGGGTCCCAGGATTTGGCAGGACTTCCTCTCGGAGTGGCAATCATTATTTACTGAGAACTCCCTGGTCTTGTAACTCTTCTTGGTGGTATAACTCCCTCTGGAGGGACACAGAAACCTGACCAATCGTTGCGGGGAGGACATATACTGAAAACATGATGCATAACATAGGAGGCACGTTTCTTGTATTCTGCGTGTGGAAGCGGCAGATGACACCAGCCCATGCACCTGAGTCCCTCTCGGCTCCTGAGGTTATGGAAAAATCAGTGATGCAGTTATGCAGCAACTTCACCCCAAGAGATGTATGGGAACTGACTCCTACTTGCTGGACTTTCTAAGCTTGAAGCTACACTCGGTCATCAGCGGGAATTTGCTCAATTTTAGGTGCGCACATAGGAGGAGTTACGCATTCAGAAAAGGGTGGGACATTGTTATGGATTGAATTGTGCCCCCTAAAAAGACAGGCTATAGTCCTAACCCCTGTACCTGTGGATGTGGCCTTGTTTGGGAATACAGGTCTCTGAAGATGTTACCGGTTAAGTTAGCATGAGGGCAAACCAGAGTAGGGTTCATCCTAATCCAACCATAGTGGTGTTCTTATAAAAGAGGAGAGACGCAGAGACAGACACAAGGGGAAAATGGCTATGTGAGGCTACATCTACTGGCCAAGAAATGCCAGGAAACACCTGGGGCTACCAGAAGTTGGGAGAGACAAGAAAGGATCTTCCCCTATAGCCATGGGAGACAGTACGGCTCTGCTGACCGCCAGAATTCTCCCAGCCTCCAGATCTGTGAAACGGTTAAGTTTCTGTTGTTATACATCACCCTGTGTGTGGTGTTTTGTTGCAGCAGCCCAAGGACACTCATACGGAAGTGCTTCTAGGAGCTCTCACGTCTTTCGCCCTGGCTGCAGAGGGACTGCCCAGCACCCTGGAGCCAGACGCGGCTCCTTCACGCCCATCTCCTCAGGGTGTTAGGGTGGCCACTCGGGCAACCGTTTACCATCCCCTTAGAAGATTGGAGGGTTGCCCTGTCATCTGTGGCTTCCAGCCAGGCCACCAGGGGAGGAGGGTGCCTGGTGCCAGCATGCCCATAGGAGGCTGCCCTCTCCTGTTACCTTCTTCAGGCTGCAGGCACCACTGTGTCCGCGGATGGCCGCCAGCAGTGCTGACCGCTCGCCCTCTGCCTCCGTGTAGAACGGCTTCTTTGGCCCTCTCTCTGAGGTGTGCTCTGCAGTCTAGAATATTAACAGTGTCAACAGATCTCATTCAGGTGATAAAGAAACGCTACCTGTAAGGAGCTCAAAAGAAAACCAGCACATATCACTGAATCCTATATGATCCCCTGCACAGTTCCTACCTGTAGGAGGGTATATATATATATATATTTTTTTTTTTTGAGTAATACAAATATTAAATTAATATTCTGTATTGACCTTACACTAGATAAAAAAATCAATGGTTATGTATCTGGAGAAGAATTCCTGGGTGGTGAAATGGCTAGGCTCTCTAGCCAAAAGGAGGGTGCTCTGAACCCACCCGGAGGTACCTTGGAAGATAGGCCTGGTGATCTGCTTCTGAAAGGTCACAGCTTGGAAAACCCTATGGAGCAGGTCTACTCTGCGCACACGTGGTCATCACGTGTTGGAATCAACTCGACGGCAACTAACAACAACATGTATTTCGGGTAGCATCAAATGACTGCCTCTTAATGTCACGTCACTCCTGTCATTTGTCCTAGCTTTTCAGAGCTGGCGTGTGCTTCTAAGTCCTGCAGGCCTAGCTGAGACTTCTAGGTCCACACTAGCTAGTAGTGTGACCCTCAGCCAGGTTACTTAGCCTCTCAGTTTCCTCATCTGCAAAATACATATAATAATTCCTAATTATCAGGGTTGTCATAATGATTATTAAATGAGAAAATAGTTGTAAGTTGTTAAATGCCTAGATACTGGGCAAAGGGGTGTCATAAAATTGTTCCTAATGGTACGGAAGAATTACAGTATATCGCTGCTAAAAATACACAAATACAGAAAAGCAGTGGCCCTGGCCTGCATTTTTTACATACACATTCAATTGTTCAAGGACCAGTCTAGGAATGACACGACCCCCTGGCCTCTCTACTCCTTCTGGACCATTTGTTGGCTGACATCTTTTGGCACTCAGGGGCCTGAAGTCATGCAGACAAGCTTACAACCTCTCAACTTGAGTCCCTTCAGCAGTTTCACTCAAATAGTCTATGGGGACTGGGGCAGAAATTCCGGTTACAGTCAGACCTGGCCGCTGGGTGTGCATCAGGACTACTGGTGGGACTGACAGAGTTTCCACGTGCAGGCTGACAATGAGCAGCCAGGTCCTCACTGCTCACTGGGATGGTTTATACCACCCACCAATAGGAGGTGAATGGCAGCACCCACAGGTTGCCAAGTCAGAGGAACCATTCAGAAAAGGGCCTGAGGTAGATGCTTATCTTTCTAACCTCAGGAAACGTACAGGACAACAAAAGGGACAAAAGAAGCCACCTTATTTCTTGTGACTATTTCCACGCAGCATGTTGACATGTTAGAAAAGACAAAGATGTCAACGGCCTCATTGTTATCCTTGTTCTCTCCCTCTCCTCCAATCCCATTCCAAGAATCTAAGTCCACAGCACCTACAGTTGGCAGGTGTAAGAGCTCTGATCGAGATGGCCTGCACCCACTCCCTAAGGTGGGTGGTTGGTATATTCACCTTCCGCAGCTTCTCCTTCCCTCCTGCTGAATGGATGGCTTCCATCAGAGTGCTGTGCAGGGACGTGTCTTTTGGCGCCGGCCTCTGGATGACAGGCTTGAATTTTTTCTTTGGCCCGAAAATGCTGGACGTCAAAGTACCCTCTGTTTCGTGTGTATCATCTGTAGATAATGTACTGGGTTTCTGCTCCATTTCTGGAGACTTGTGGCTGTTCATGGTGGACACTTTCAGAGAGTGAGGTTTGCTGCTGACTGGAGGCCACCTCGAGCCATTCACCAAAACCCTGGTGGAGGCTTGCTCATCTGCTGAGTGAGAAGGGGGGCTGTCTGTACTGTCCAGCGTGCACTGTGGTTCAGATGCTGAGCTGGTCTTCTGGTTCCCTGGACTTTGCTTTCCACTGAAGCCACAGCTCTGTCCCACAGAAACATGATCCCTCTGGGAAGATTTGATTAGTGGGACATAGGAGCTTCTTGGGATACCAGCAGGACAGTTTTGAGCAGATAACTTTCCATAGGGGCTACTGATCTCTGATGTTGGATGGGCGCCCACTGCTGATTCTACCCCGTTACTGTTGGGGAGGTTGAAGCAGGGCTGTTTTGCATCATCTTTACATAGTGGTGTCTCTGAGTATGGGCTGGGGGTTGTATCTTCTTCTGTAGCAAGATGTCGTCCAGCTGACTTTGGCGCTTTGCCTTCATAACTCCTCTTAGCATCACTGTGCTTCATCATCAAGTCAGTATGGACTGTTTGGGGTCCTATCCGCTTGGCGATAGCGGAGGCCACGTACTGGCTGGATGTTCTTCTCTGGGGCTTGAGAAAAGAGACTTCTGTGGTGGTAGCTGCTGGCCCTTTTGCCTGACCAGTGATGGCTATGTGTGACTGGCCACTCCTTTCCTCCAGATGCCTCCCATCTTCTTGGGGGGAAGGCTGCTGCTGGGGCAACGCCAATGTGGGGCCTGGGGATGTGGGATGAGCTCTGAGTCTGCTTTCTGGATTCTGGGGGTTAGATGGCACGGTAGTGCCAGTCCTTTTCACTGAGCTCTCTGTGGGCACACTGGAATGCTTTTCCACGGACTTGGACCTCCAGAATTCTTTTACTTTTCTAACGGATTGACCTTCTGTTTCAAGAATGGATGATGACAAAGATATGGTCCTGCTCCCATTCACGTGGGGATTCACCATATTCCCTAGCTCGTCAATCTTAATGGCACCTGTTGAGAGGGATACTTCTCGGTTGTAACACCTCATCTCTGATTTTGGAGGAACAATTTTATACGTTGTGAGGCCATATTTAAGTCCATAACTTCCCCCTGTGTTTTGGCCTTGTTGATACCGTGATGGCGGTGCCAGGACCTCATTTTTATCATTGCCTTCCTTTTCACTTGATGGCTGTGAGTTCCCTCTCTGGGTAGCAAGTCCAGTCCTTTCACTGCAGGTCCAGCCACACACCTGGCTTTTTTCTTGTGTATTTAGGTCATCCGTGTGCAACTTTGAGACAGAAGTCGTCACCTTGGGTCCAATTTCAATTGAATTCACACCTTTACAGGTGTTGGACAAGGCCAATCTGGTTTCTTTTCTAGTGTCATGGCAAGGAGAGTATGATTCAGGCACTTCCTCCCTCTTCTTTCCAGGGGGCTGGTTGTCCTCAGCCTGGAATGATGGCAGGTGGTTTCTTCTGCTGGCAACACTTCCCGTGTCAAAAGAACCTGCATTGTTGTTTCTGTTGGAAAACAGCCCCAGATCAAGGGGGTCATCTAAAACTTCCCCTATGAATGTCACTGGGATTGCATCCGCATCACTGCTAGTAATTATGGCATCTTGTGTCAAGTGGCTTGAGACACCATTTAAAGAGTTGGTTAGAGAGCTGGTATCTGTTTCATAACTCTCTTCCATTTCTGTAAAGAAGTACAAACACAAGTCACACACTGACACCGAGTGTGCGATTCCCATGCCAATTACTTAGTGCAATCACAACTACAAGTTTGATTTCCCTGAGGTTACTTTTGTGTAAGTCATTTACATATCTATAAAAATGTCACTTCAGTTTGTAATCTACACATGCCTGGGGCTAGAATCTCAACTCTCATTACTCAAGAGAACTGTTTGCAGATCCTTGGTGTTTCAAGGTGAGGTATTTAGTTATAACATGATGTCCACATCTTTCACTTAACAGATTTCTAAATCCAAGCCCTCTGAAAAACTGGCTCAACACAGAACACGAAAGTGAGTTTTGGGTTTTGACCCCCAGGTTTCTCAAGTTCACCAGAAACACAACAGAACATGTGAGCCCACTTGCTCTAGCTTTAGCTTCTTAAAGAGCTAGATGACTAAGTCTTGAGTACCTCAAAATTATCATGACTCTTGAAAGCCCCAAATGATATAGTGGGCCATGTGGTCAGATGCCTGTGGGACTCAGCAGGCTGATTTAGATTTGTCAGCTCTGTCAACTATATATTCTGAGGACTCGGAACTGACGAGTCAGTCAGATAAAACCACCGATCAATCCTGCAGTCTGCTTCCTCCTTCTCCTCCTCCACTTCCTCCTCCTTGTTTTGTTTTAACGTGTAGCCAATATCTAATTTCTTATGTGTTTTCTCTATGCGCCCTGGAGGAAACAGTATAGCTTCTTTGTTTGAAAGATTCCCCATTTGTCCACTATTTGCATCTGCACTGGCCTCACACTACCATTTACCAAAACTATCTCCACAGAGCAGCAGTGCCATGAGATGCTCCATGACAAACAGGTCCCTGCAGCCAACATGCTGTGGGCTGCATTTCCTTTCAGAGATATGCTATATTTTAGCAAGTAAAGGCTTAGACGTCTTAATAAAGAAAGCTTATCTCAGTGTCACTCAGGGTTTTCCTAACTCATTTGGGTACTTTGAACCTTTTATTTATTTATTTTAATGTATATGGAATACGTTTTCCGTATAGGATGAGGATTACCCAAAGCAAGTTTTAAGAAGCTGCTTTAGACATTTCCGCCATACCATTTTGCAGCACGGATGAAAAGCTGTGTCTGGGGAACTGTACCCCACCTAAGGGTGCTCTCCCCTCAGATCCAGGCTTCTTCACATTTGTCTTAAGTGCAATTCCTTTTGAAGACCTTTTCCTCACATGAACCCAACACCCGTTGCCACTGAGTCGATTCCGACTTACAGCAACCCTACAGGACAGAGTAGAACTACTGTACAGCATTTCCAAGGAGTGGCTGGTGGATTCAAACTGCTGACCTTTTGGTTAGCAGCCGAGTGCTTAACCACTGCACCACCAAGGCTCCTTTCCTCATAGAGTTAATCCAAAAATGTGACTAGAAAAAATAACTTTCAGAGTTACAGGCACATACTACTATATAAAAGTAGTAGGTAGGGTAGCCCTTACCTTCTTCATCAAGTTCTGCACGGGTTTTCGGGAACTGTCCAGTAATGAATAGGTGTTCATCATCATTGGAGGCTGTAGCAGCTTTTTCAGTTCTGGGGGACACCAAAGAGAAAGCAAGGGTGTTCATTTCTTTTATCATTTATTTAATTTACTCCCAGAAATACTCAAGGAAGGTGCAGTTCATATTCAAATTCAGGTAGTCCCACGCTCTTCAGATCACTGTTCTTGGTGCTACTGAGACAGAGATTCTGTAGTGTGCGTGTAAGTGTGAGTGTGTGTGAGTATGTGTATGTGTTTGTAGTATGTGTGTGTGTGTGTACGTCTGTGTGTTTGCATGTGTATGTGTGTGAGCACATTGTGCATGTACGTGTGTGCGTGTATCTGTATGTGTGTGAATCTCTGTATGAGTGTACATGTATATATGAGTGTGTGTGTATATGTATGTATGTGAGTATGTGTGAGTGTGTGTGTGGCCACAAAATGTTAGCAATACTCAGGTCACAAACAACTCCCGCTCACTCTGCAGTCTGAAGTCTAAATTTTAATCCACTGCAGAAGGACAAGTGAATGTGCAAAGAGGATTTGCCTGCATATCTGTCACTCTAAAGCTGTAACCTGCAAATGGCATCCTACTTGAGTGGTAACAGGAGTTAGGCTCTCTGCTATGCAAAGTTTGAAAATGCCCATGCTAGCCAGGGTTTGGTCTTTCTCACACCACTTGGAAACTGCACAATCAGGTTATCCCTAAGTCTTTCTCCCAAGCCCACAGCACCGTTCTACAGAATCAAAGCCTCTTTTCAAATTTACAATCCCTAATGGGCAGATGACCCAGTAAGCCAGGTAAAGCACGGGTTTACTTGTGTTTACTTACTAATCGGTAGTGAACAATTTCAAAGATGTTATAGTGAACAATAATCAAAGATATGGTGAAAGCTATGGGAAACTCTTCATTACAGATGATCTGGTAAGCATGGCAAGCACTGTGCTTACCTTGCCTACTGTATAATCTGCCCCTGGGTGCTCCCTTGGGCTCTTTACCAGGGAAAATAAAAACAATGATGAGGATGGTAGCAAAAATTATCATTATAACAACAGTAACAGTAACAACAGCTCCCACTCTTGGAGCACTTAACCCCAAATGCCTTCCCATGTGGGCTGCCTCCGAGTGAGGATGGTGTCTTCATGGAGCAGGGCCCGGCCTGGCCAGCCCAGTCCTTTATGCTGAGCCAGCTGTCTTCATGTTCCAGCCCCTGAACAGAGCTCTTTTGCATGAATTATCTTAGTATAATCCTCACAACCAATTTAGAAGCTAGCAGTAGTGTGTTCTCTCCATTGTACAGATAGGAAACTATGTACAGAGGGACGAAATAAACCTGCCTGAGATCTCACCAGGAGAGAAAAGCCCAGGAGAGGGCCATATCCCGGGCCAGGAGGTACCACCTGGTCCCTGCGGCCCTGGGCGCCCAGGAAGATGTCAAACCACCGGGTTGGGAGAAATGGACGTTACCTTATTTGCATCACAGAGACAATAGCATCAGTGAGACAAGTGCTGCCAAAACAATTTGAAAACTCTCTTAGCAAGAGCTCGTCTTTATTTTCCTATGGTGCAAAAAACACAGATATGCACAAGGCAATTGTTTTCAGTGAAAGCTGAAGGTTCTTCTGCTGATTGTTAAAATTGAGGACCAATTTCCATCACTGCCAATCGGACTCAGATAATGACGCATGAAATATGCTCTGCACAATCCTCACTTACGTAGCCAGGTTTTAATTCAGATAAATGGGCCTTTCTTGTTTGGTGACTGTGTCCTTTTGGGAGCCAGGAAGTGGCTTCCAGATTGGTGGCAGCTAATGCTTTCTGACAACCCAGACAAAGGGATGGGCTGGTGATGTGTGTGCATGTGGACAAATTAATACGGCTTGCAAGAGTACACGATTGTCCCTCTTAGTTCTTTTGCTTTAACTTTAATTATCTGAACGCATTTTACTGAAGTTTTGTTTTTCTCTTCCAGGAAATGTGATGGCTTAAATAAATTTAAGTTTAAAGAATTCATAAAACATATAGCAGAGAAAAAAATGAAATGTTATATAGAATAATATCTGAAATGGAAAACAGGGCACTTCCCATATGCTTGCCATTAGTTTAGGATGTTTAAGGGACCCAACCAAACAAATTTTATCTATTTTTTTAACTTTTAAGCATTTATCATTACATCAAAGTATGTCTAATCACATCACCCTATGAGACATTGAAGAGAACAGTATTAATAAGAATTAAAAACAAATTTAAGATGAAAATTCCTTTGGCCCTACTATTTTATAAACGTCAAATTAGCAAAAAAAAAAAAAAAGAAAAAAAAGAAAAAAAAACTTACCCCAAGCTGATAAAGATTTGGTAAGTCTGAGTCATTCACACTTGTTACTACTGCTACTTGTTGCTCTATTCAGAAGCAATGTGGAAATGTTTCAAGAAATAAACTTCAAGAAACAAACAAAAAATGTTTCTTTGGACACCCTTTTAGCTCAGTGGTGAAGTCATCTCCGAGGTTCACCATTCAGCCTGGGAGTGGATAGCCCCATAAAACTATATGGGACTAATGAGGTACAGTAGTCCAGTGACAAGGGCCAGAAGACAGAAGCGGACAAGGAAGCTGGTGATAGGGAACCCAAGGTTGAGTAAGGATAGTGCTGATGTGTTGTGAGATTATTAACCATTGTCATAGGGCAACACGTGTAGTAACTGTTAAATGAGAAACTATTTTGTTCTGTAAGCCTTCATCTTAAGTGAGAATAACAGCACAATTGGAAGAGCGTGGTCAATGTCACTGAACTGTGCATGTAGAAAATTTTGAAATGGTGTATCTTTGGCTATGTGTATTTTCACTGAAAAAAAAAAAAAAAAACGTTGAGAAGTTAGAGGGTTGACATGTTGTGGCGTTGTTAACCAATGTCATAAAACAATATGTGTACTACTGTTTCATGAGAAACTATTTGTTCTGTAAGCCTTCACCTGAAGTACAATAAAAAGAAAAAAATGAACTCAGAAAAATGTTTCTTTGTAAGAACTTTACCTCATTAATCTCTTAATAATTTGCCTAAAGGAAATAATCCAATAAAAGGAAAAACTACTGTACTCATGGGAAGAACTCCAAAACGTCAGCAGTAGGGATAAAGAAATCACTGCACATTGATTTCACTGGGCATTGAAACCAGGAAAAATGGTGATCATGAAGTATATGTCAAAACATAGTAGTAACAATGGTTTAAGCTACTATATTATGTGAAAAAATCAGGGTGTATAACTACATATAGGATGATTATGAAGATACAAAAATAACATGAATATGGGCAAGGGTGAGACAGAAACCAAACCAAAACAAACCAACCTGCGTGATTAGTTGAAATGGGTGCATTATGGTAACTCCCTCTTCCTTTACAAGTGTTTGTTTTGGTAAAATGTGGCTTGGGTCATCTTTTTTTTTTCAATGGGCAAAATTTAAAATAATCCCTTGGGCTTCTAATTATAACAATTATTTTTTTGTTTTTGAAAAGGGGTTTCCCTGTTTGTTATATTGTGACTAGCATACACCTCTTTACTGAGTTGAGAAATGCCTAATAATCCCAGTAGGGAGATGGGCCTTGGCAAGGCCTGAGCGGTCCCAGCCCTTCAGCAACTTCCTCTCACCCAGGCACAGGCCTCAGCTGCACTATGGAAAGCATTGGTAGCCATGCCTAAGGGGCCAGGGCTCTGAGCTGGTTTCCCTCCCCATCTGCAGTCCACCCCTCTCCCTAGTCTGAGTCCTATTCCCTTGTCCCTGGGTCTTACCTTCCTGCCCAGCCCCTGCCTTCCGTCCACCTCCTTGAAACCTCACAGGTTTGGCCCTGACGCTGTCATTCAGTACTATCTCTGCTGACCCACTGGCCTGGCTCCCAGGTACCCCAATGTAGGCCTGATTCCTGGGGCCCTGCTCGTCCGGGAGGACAGAGTGGGCAGTGACTGCAGACACCACTCCTTAGGGTTGCTGTGGAGTGAGGGAGGGTCTGACCACAGCCGTCCAGGTGCGTGGTTGGGGTTTCTCAGGAGAGGTTGCCAAAGAACTGACACCTCCGAGGGAGGGGGAAGATGAACCGGGCAGCCCCTCCCATAGCTTGCTCTTATCTTGATGCAGAATAGGGGCCCTATGTTACCAGCCGGGGCGTCTGGGCCAATGAATTATCCAGCAAAAGCAATTGGCAACTTATCTATTTCGCTCTCCAATGTAAAATCTAAAGAGGGAGAGATTCAGCACTACTTGCTCTTTTGCTCTTCCTTCCCCACCTTACCCCGTCCACTTCTCCACAAAGGGTTACAGTGGATTGCAGCCCTTCCTGTCTCCTTGTAGAGGCCCTAGGGGGCCCTCGGCATCCTGAGCGCACGGGGCAGCTCCCTGAGGCTGGGCAGGAAAGCCCTGCAGAGCCCATAGCGGGCAAGAAGCACAAGCCTCTTCAGCGTCGAATCAACGTGCACAGATGTTTCTCACCCGGTCATCACTCACTCCCCTCCTCAACACCTCCCCGCACCAAATCTTTACACAGGTTTCTTATTTATAATTTGCTTTGGCTAAAGACCATGAAAACAAAGAGCAAATAAATAGAGGGCAGACACTCTGATATGAGGCTGTACATGCTGAATAAACATGACTAGTGGAATTTTCTCTCACGGGCTTTGTGACTCTTCAGGGAACGTGATAATGTTCAGGCTGCAGCATCCATAAACAGTGAGGGTGCCAAGGGCAGCACGGCAAGTCCCATTGGGGTCTGCCCAATGACAGGCCTGCCTCCTGGGTGTGGTCCCACGGGAGGGGGCTGTGCTCTGAGGGCCCAGGCTGGCAGGTGACCGTCACCCAGCTGAGTGTGACCAGGGCCCACTGTGACTTCAGCAATGCTTCACCCAGCTGCAGATAACACAAGAACTAGGGGCAATTATATCAATTAGCACCAGGAGAACAGGTGCTTTCTGTCTTTGTTTTCTATGAGAAAGAAAAAGAGAATGGGTTGATTCTGGTCCAGGTGGAATTTGCAAGATGCATTCACGGGCCATTAGGTCATTCCT